GATTTGGATAGTCAATCTCCTTGGCGAGAGGGCAATCAATGCTCCCCCACGGCAGTCAACCTCCTCGGTAGTTGAGCCACCCCCTCACCCCCCAGAAATATCGAAAAGCTTAAAAAAAAAAAACAAAAAAAAAAACACTAGATTTGGATACATCAATCTGGGCAATCAATGCTGTCCCGCAGGCAGTCCATATCCTTGGTAGTTGAGCCCCCCCCCCCCCCTCAACCCCCAGCTTTAAGGCAAATATCAAAATGAGCTCGAGGACAAAAAGACACCGGATTTCGACACGTGAAACTGAGCGCAAATAGGACTCACAATAAAAAAAAAAATAAAAAATGGGCCCGTTTCGGTCCCGCCCGGGTACCCCGGGCGAGTGGGACCCCGGGCGACTTGGCCCGGGCGGCCCGGCCGGGCGGGCCGGGCCGGGCGACTTACGTAGCCTAGGTAATAATAATATAATATATATAAAATATTTATACAAATATATACGTATACACAAATAATTTTTTTTTTTTAACTCTTTCTTTCTTAAAAAAAAAATTAAAAAATAAAAATAAAAATAAAATATATATTTATCTAGGCTACCAGCCGGGCCGCCCGGGTACCGGGTGGCCAGCCCATGCAAGGTCCCAGCAAAAAAAAAAAAAAAAAAATTTAAAAATTCTGAAAAACAACTATGTTATGCAGAAAAATAAACTGAACAACTTTTGCCTCAGGGTTACATCGAAATTGTTTACCAAATTTAAAATAAAAAATCAAATTTAAACTTATTTAATTTATTTTTATTTTTTTTAATTATTTTGGCCCAGCCGGGCAAGTGACCCCGGGCCACTCTGGCAGCCTAGATATTTATATATATATACTCAGATAAAAAATATAAAATAAAATATAAAATATAAAATATAAAATATAAAATATAAAATATAAAATATAAAATATATACAGGGTTACCTGACCGAACGTTCGGGGGTCCCCGGGCTGGCCCCCGAACGTTCGGGCGTTCGGAGCCCCGTTCGGGGGCTGAACACCACCAGGTTCGGCCCCCGCCAAAAAATATTTCGGGGCCTAAAAACAAGTTTTGTTTTCTGAATTGTTTTTTGTGAGTTCTCTATGATGTAACCTACACGCCAATAAATTTTGAAGCCATTCTGCTAACCCAAAAAAACATTAAAAATCGTCAAAGATGGGGGTGTCAAAACGTGCTCGCCCACTCACTATTTTGTTTTTTTTCACTTTTAACTTTTGTTTTCACTTTATTTCGGGGCCTAAAAAATTTTATTATTTTTTGAAATGTTTTTAATGAGTCATTGATTATATAAGCTACATATCAGTAAATTTTCAGGGCATTTGTCAATGCCAAACAATAATTCAAAATCGGCAAAGATGGCGGTGTCGAAAAGGTGCTGGCACACTCACTCATTTTAATTCTCTTTTTATTTTTTCTTATTTTTATCACAGTATTTATTTTCTGTGTTGGATTTTTAATTCAAATTTGGTGAAGAATTTGGATGTAGTTCCCAGGCAAATGTTGTTTAGTTTATGTCTCTCCATAACATAGTTGTTTTTTGGAATTTTTTGAAAACTTTGGTTTTTTTTTTTTTTTTTTTTTTTGGCCCGCGTTCGGCCCGAACGGCCGAACGCCTCCCGAAGGGGTCCGGTACGTTCGGGCATTTGGGTTCGGGCGTACGGACCGTCCCGAACTCCGGTAATGCTGTATATATATATATTTGTGACCAGGGTCACCAGCCCGTACGTACAGAGGTCCCCGGGCAGACCTCCGTACGTACGGGCGTTCGGGGTCCCGTACAGGGTCCGAACCCGACGGCGTTTGGCCCCCGCCAAAAATTATTTCGGGGCCTAAAAATAAATATTTTTCTCTGATGTTTTTTTTTGTGAGTTGTCTATGACGTGAGGTACATGCCTGTAAATTTTCAAGTGATTTGGCTTAGCCAAATAAGTATTACAAATCGCCAAAGATGGCGGTGTCAAAAAGTGCTCACCCACGTATTTTTTCACTTTTTACTTTTTGTTTTCACTTTAGTTCGGGGTCTAAACAATTTTATTATTTCTTGGAAACTTTTTTAGTGGGTTTGTATTATGTTAAAAACACATCTGTAAATTTTCAGGGCATTTAGCTATGCCAAACAAAAATGAAAAATCGCCAAAGATGGCGGTGTCGAACGCCGGTTACCCTGTTTGTGACGATATATATATAATAAAATATATATATAATAAAAAATATATATATATAAATAGATAAATAAATAAATAATAATTAAAATAAATATATATATATATATATTTAAATAAGATATATAATAATCAAAAGATAAAAATTAAAATAAAAATTAAAAAATTAAAAATTAAACATTAAAATTAAAATTAAAAAAAAGTTAATAATAAATTGATATCTTTTTTTTGGAAAAAATTATTATTTTTTATAAAAATTAAAATTGTAATAAATTATTTTATACATAAAAATTATTAAAAACTAAGAAAACAACGAGAAATATTTTTTTCATAATAATAAAATTTCTAATTAATAAATACCTAGAATAGATAAATAGTCCAATGGTATAAATAATGTTCATTTTTTCCCCAATATAGTACATATCTAATTTTGTTAAAAAACAATAAAAAATTAAACAATCGTACCCCTTAAGCGCGGTGGGCCCGTGGGGGGAGGCCGTGTTCTGCTGCGCGCTGGAATCGGGCGGAACTTTCGATTCGGCCCGGCGGATGAAGGCGATCGAGGGCGGGGGTGCGTGCAGAACGGTGCGCGTACCGAGTTGTTCACAGCGCGCCGGCAAACAAGAGAGCGAGTCCATGGGAGCCGGAGGCGGCGGGCGTCGATTCGAGTGAATATCTCGAATCGCCCGTCGTTGGATTGCAAGAAAGTGTCGTTTTGTTTCTTTTCTTTTTTTCGTTTCCCGTCATTTTTTCTTTTCTTTTTTTCGTTTCCGTCATTTTTTTTTTTTTTTTTTCCGGTTTTCTTTTCTGTTCTTTTCTTTTTGCGGGCCGCGAAAAAGACAAGTGTTTTTCTTTTCTTTTTTCCGTTTTCCTTTTCTTTTCTTTTCGTTTTGGGGGCCGTGGAAATGTTCTCTTTTTGTTTTCAGTTTTTTTTTCTGTTCTTTTCTTTTTGCGGGCCGCGGAAAAGACAAGCGTTTTTTTTTTCCTTTTGCGGTTTTTCTTTTCTTTTTGGGGGCCGCTATCTTTTTCCCGCCGCAGAATGGCGGGCGGGATAAAAGAACC